GTCGTTTTTCAAACCTGAAAACCCTGAAAATGTACTGATTTTTTCCAAGTGTCTTGCATTTGTCCCGCTTTAATTCGTTATTTTAAAATTATCGGACAATGGATGGATTTTTAAAAAAAGTGTGTTTTGGTACTTTTCGTAGCTTTTCTTCAATATCTCATGAAAAAATCTCCCAATCAACGTAAGCGAAGGGTATTGATGTGCCTCTTACCAAAATATATAACTTGTGGCGACTTCAATGAAAATTATTAGTGCTAGAGGCGACCATTTGCATTTGTCATTATTTTAAAAACTCGATAAGGAAGATATATCATTACAGTAAATTTTGAGCCAAAGATAATGGAAATCGGATTAGAAATGTAGATGCTATGGAGCGCAATCTGCACAAATTATATTTTTTTGTAAGGGGCACTTTGTAACTACTCATCGTTCACGTCGAATTTTGACAAATAACTGCGAAAAGTACCAAAAAACAAAAAAATAATCTTTTAAAGATTTTTACTTTTCGTGTAAGCTATTGTAATTATAAAATGTTTTACTATACTTTTATAAATATTCATGTAAAAAAAGATTAATATATTAAAGTTTAAAATGTAATAAGAATTTAGAATCATAAATACTCTTTTGATATTTTTATACTACGTAAATATATGTGTGCATATTTCTGAAAAATTTTCCTTCATTATGAATCCATATTTATGGTCACCGTAAGCATACACAAAAAAGTGGTGTGTGCTTATAACCAGACACACCTACCGACATGTATTTCGACCCACTGAATCCGAATTAGAGGTGGCAGATATTTGCGCATCTGTGACTTTGTCACGGTTACTCAAAAGTTACGAGTTACAATTTCCAAAAAGTCACCGTGACAGCATGAATCAAATAAAAAGATTACGTTTTCCGATTGGCAACCATATTGTAAACAAAGAACAGCTGATGGTCGTGACGTAGTTCGACCCATTCTACATTTGTTTACATTGTGCTTAGAAAAGTGATGAGCGAAAGTTTTTTTCAATTTCGAGCGGTAATAGTGATTTTTTTTTATTAAAATGAAGTGCGCGGTCGTTAATTGTGCAAGTTCGCATACAACAAAAAACAAAAAAAAAATAGGATTTTTTACGTTCCCGAAGGATGAGAGAATCCGAAAGCAGTGGGTGCATTTCTGCCGCAGGGAAGTGAATACAAAAAACGCGCGAATTTGTAGCGAACATTTTCTTCCCGAAGACTTGGAGAATCAAGTACAATTCGAAATGGGTAAGAAATGTGTTCGAGATTTAATAATAATTATTACACTACGTTAATATGCGCAGGGTGGGTTTGCAAAATATAGGGTACTTAAACCCTGCGCCATACCCACAACTACCGTGGAAGCCAAACCTCCTTCAACTGTAGCACGAAATTATCGGTTTATACAACGATCAAACAAAAAACTAGTTGCGTAGCTACTATTGGCCCCGACCGTTTCTGCAGAATATATTGACGTTACCGATACGGTAGATGCGGTAGAAAGTGAGAAAATGGAAGATGCGCCCGATACCGTGGAGCCTGCAATGTTTACGTGTGCCTCAGAGCAAATTTTAATTGAAAAAATTAAGCAATTGAGACCCTCATAATAAGTATAAACAATTTCTACTAATATATAAGAATAATATTTTTCTTGTATGTCTACAGTGATACGTTAAAATTTTACTTTAAGTGAGCAACAATTAAAGCGTGACAAAGAACTGGCTCCCCTCGAGATAATAATAATAATATTAATAATAATCCCAACGGTTTTTACCCTCCATTCCCGCCCATCCGCACGAGGGGCGCATGACGTACGGTACCAGTATTTTCAATTTTTGCGCCGAGTCACGATAGGCAGGAGTTTGTTAAGTGTCGAGATCTAAAACTGTTCAGCTACAGAACTATATCAGCCGATTTTATGTCTTTATTATACCTTTCATGAACATGAAATGGTATAATAACTTTGGTCCGATGTTTGTAAGTACCAGAGTAAGAAGAGATAGACCCATTAAAATGTATACTTAAATCATCAGAACGTCGAGCTGAGTCGATTTAGCCATGTCCGTCTGTCTGTCTGTCTGTCTGTCTGTCCGACTGTTTGTATGCAATCTAGTCTCTCATTTTTCGATATATCCGGATGAAATTTGACAGGTGAGTGTATTTTTATAATGTATTAATCATTTGTCGTAACCGGAAGAATCGGACCACTATAACATATAGCTCCCATACAACTGATTGTTCAGATATGAGATTTTTCATTAATATTTTTCGTTATAACTCCTCCATTTAAGTAGCTAAGAATACTTTGAGTGAAAATGGCGAAGTTTGGGTCGCTATAACCTATAGCCTCCATACAAGTGATTGTTCAGATTCGAGATTCTTTGTTATAGCTTCTCCATATATGCAGCTGGAGACATGAAATTTCGCAATATTTTCACTAATTACCAACAGGAAGTTTACAGTAAAATTAACAAAGATCGGGTCACTGTAACCTGTTTATATCCTCCATACAACTGATTATTCAGATATGGGGTTTTGCTGCAAAACTCATTCATTTTGACTGATAAAACAGATCATTTCGTAAGCTATTATATAAAAAATAATACAAAGTCTACTGAGGAAAACGTCATAATCTATGCTGTATAAGCTTTATCTCTTATACCTCCGATTGTTCAGATACCAGTTATTACGATATATCTCCTTTATGTAGGAGTCTAAACCCATTAAAATTGTGTTACCGGTTTACATACCGATCACACAGCAGTGAAAATCATTTAGGTTGGTGCTATATAAGGTATATGTTCCATACCTCTGATTGTTTAGATATGGGTTTTCATATATCCTCCTCTCCTCTATTTAGGTATTCTGTAAATATATAAATTTTTTCCAATGCAGTAATTTGTTAAATTAAAATTTTCAGATGCTCATGAAAGGTATGAAGCCTTCGGCATAGCCGAAGCCAGCGCTGCTCTTACTTATTTTAATGATTCATTTATTGAGAGAGGACAGTATCGATTTCTTAATGCTGAAAAGCGGATCTGATATATCAAACGTGCTGGAATGAGAGTTAAAATCCTGGCATAAGCAACGGAGTGGGTCGCGCAATTTAAAATTAGTTTTACAAGCTTTCAGAAATAGGGGACAAAAGTGGGGGGGAGGGAACATTAAGGCCAACTTCGCCCAGAAGAAGCGGACTTGAAATTGAGCCTGTTAGTATTTTAACTATAAAAATTGTACCAAGCATTTGCCTGCGGCTGGAAAGTGTAGGAAGATTAATAAGTTTTAATCGGCTCGTATAAGGTGGAAGGTTATATTGAGAATCCCAACGGAAATTTCTTAAAGCAAAAAGTAGGAATTGTTTTTGAATTGATTCTATCTTGTCTGAGTAAATTTGATAACTTGGATTCCAAACCACCGAACCGTATTCCAGAATTGGCCTAACTAATGTTGTTAACAGGGTTTTAGTGATATGAGGGTCACAAAATTCTTTTGACCATCGTCAAACCTTTAGCTTTCTAGACTGTCACATTAATATGAAGATTAAAATTAAGCTTAGGATCCATTGTGATACCAAGGTCCACAAAATTGTATATCTGTTCCAGGTTATGGTTACCTATAGTATAAGAAGCGGGATGAACAGCTCTTCGCGAGAAGCACATTACTTTACATTTCTTATGATTTAGAGGCATAAGATTTACTTGACACCAGTAAGCCATGCTTTTATAAGTCTGATTGTAGCAAAGACCTTTCTTTAATTGAAACGTACGATTTATAAAGCTTTACTTCATCTGCATACATTAAGATTTTGGGGAAATATCGTTTATAAAAAGCAAGAAAAGAATCGGGCCTGGGTGACTACCTTGAGGGACTCTTGAAATAAACTCAATGACGGCATAGATAGTATTTTTAAACATTACCCTTTCTGATCCATCATAGAGGTATGAAGAGATCCAACGTAGAAAATTAGGTGGAAGACCAAGAAGATCAAGTTTATAGATGAGCAACGAGTGGCACACTTTGTCAAATGCTTTACTGAAGTCAGTATATATAACATCAACAGTTTTGCTTTCACTAAATGCTTTTGAGATATAGGATGTTAATTGAAGTAAATTTGTAGAAGTTGATTTGCCCTTGCAAAATCCATGTTGACTATATGAAATGCTAGAAAGAGATGGAATGTGTCGTAATCCGGGTTAATAAAGCCCAGTTCGAACACCGAAATATTGAGAAGTTACGGTCCATTTTCACTGACGGCCAGACAAAAAAATTAAAGGGCGGGTAAAAAAGGCAGAACTGGTCTGAGCAAGACATATCAAGTTCGATCACACTCTATTGGGCTAGTGCGAAAGTCTACAGATTTCAAAAAAAGAATGGGTTCCGCTTCCTGCTATACGAACTCTGCAAAAGTGGGCACAAAATGTGCAAATTAATCCTGGTATAATTGAGCAAGTGATTAAGTTGTTATCTTGAACTACACTAATGGACGAGAAACAAATAATAGGTTTGTATAGTAACTTCTCCAGTAAAACATTGCAGCCAGAGCGTAAAAGCAAAATAGAGCGTAAAATTAACAAGAAGATAAAACTAGCAGAAAAAGATACTGAACGCAAAACTAGTAAAAACTTGCAAGTGAATAGTTGTTGCACCCTTTTGATATTCTGCTGTAAACATTTTACTATTTATAAATCAATTTTAAACTCTTTGCTTTTCACACAAGCACTTACACAGCCTAGTACATCATTAATATTTTGATTTCCACTCATTTTACTTTTGTTTGCGCTAAACCAATTCAACAAATGGCGGCTTTTGACATATATTCTTTTTCTTCTTCTGCTAGCTAATTTCTGCTAGTAAAAATTTCACTAGCACGAATTTGCAGCTCTCCCGTGTTATTACGCTCTCGATTCAGCGCTCTTGCAAATTTTTTGGGTTATCATACACTTTTCCAGTAAAAATTTGCAGGTTCCAGTACAAATTGGTACTGGGGCCCTATTCTGTAACTCGAATCGAAAGTTGATTCTATTCGAATTTGTTATTCGATTCGAATTTGGTTTAGCATTCTGTAAAAGTTTCGGATCGAGTTTCTAGTTTTGCGAAAGTTGTGCCACCCTGTGCCAGAATTTTCGAATGTCAAACGTCAAAATACGTAGAAGGAAAACAAGTAAACAACTACATAATTTAAATTAAACAATTGTTATTCATTTTATCAACAAACAAAAAATGGATTCTGTTGCATTGTGGATGGACGAAGAAATTAATGAAGAGAGAAATGCAAGAAGGGCTATAAGAGATCATTTTAATATTGATGAATTATCGGAAAGAAGGTAAATGCATACATATGTAATGTAACCGGCTATAAATTTAACTTATTAATGATTATATATTTGAAAATATAGCTTCATAAAAAATTTTCGGCTTTCCAAGGATGCCTTCAATTATGTGTTGAGAAGCATAGAACACGAATTACATGCACCTATAAGATCTACGGCAGTAACTCCGACAGTAAAACTTGCTGCTCCTCTAAAATTTCTAGGACAAGGGGGCTATCAGCACCAAATAGGGCAAGACCGTTTTGCAGGATTAGCGCAATCCACGACTTCTAAATGTATCACGGAAGTAGTCAATGCGATTGAAAAAACTTTATGTCCGAGGCACATAAAATTTGAAATGACCGTGCAAGAAAAGTGTGAATCCAAAAACCATTTCTACTCAAAATTTGGATTACCAGGAATAATAGGTGCTGTTGATGGAACCCATATCCAGATGGTTAGGCCGGTAAGGGATGAACATCTGTTCTTTAATCGGAAGCTAAAGCATAGCATCAATGCAATGGTGGTAAGTTTTTAATACTTACAAGTTTTTGTTCATACCATTTCATAACATTTTTTGATTAGATTTGTGATCACAAGATGTACATAAGAGNCGGAAGCTAAAGCATAGCATCAATGCAATGGCGGTAAGTTTTTAATACTTACAAGTTTTTGTTCATACCATTTCATAACATTTTTTGATTAGATTTGTGATCACAAGATGTACATAAGAGCTGTGAATGGAGTCTATGGTGGAGCGGCTCATAATTCTCATGTATGGAACTTGTCAAACGAACGAAAATATATGAAAGCCCAATACCAAAATGGAGACAAATCATCTTGGATAATTGGTAGGTGACTTTATCCATATGTACTTGTATCACTTAAAGCAATCTTACACGATATATATTTCCATATGTAAATGCTACTTTTGTGATACAATGTAATATATGGTACACACGAGTACATACAAAAAAGTAGCATTTACATATGTAAATGCATATGGTGTTAGTAGCACAGTACTCTGTAACAAACTCTTATATAATCTGTTTTATATTCCAAAACGTACCGGTTTTTACAAATTTGCATGCATTATCTTCTATTTTCAAGGTGATTCTGGATATCCATTAGAGCCATGGCTCCTCACACCTTACCGTAACGCAGAAGAAAATTCTGCAGAAATGTTATATAATGAAAGGTTTACCAAAGCGCGATCGATAATAGAACGAGTGTTTGGAATTTAAAAGGTCGCTTTCGTTGCCTACTTGCTGGAAGAGAGCTTCATTATACACCCGAAAAAGTAGTAAAAATTTTAAATCCTTGTTGTGCACTGCATAACATTTGCCTTACATATAATATTGAACCACCAACTGTTATTGAGAGCGATGAAGAAGGCTCAAATTTAGCTTTATCGACCAACTCCGATATAGAAGAGAACGAATTTTTACGTATGGCACAAACAGTACGAGACCGAATTAAAAATAGCTTGGTTTCCTAATTTAAATTTCGTAAATATGTGTAGTAAATCAATGCAATTAAAGAACTTTTCACAACAAGTACATTTTCTTTATTTATTTATTTGAGAATAATATTATGTTTGTGGTTCTATTACATACATACATATGTATTTATATATAAAAATAAACATAAAAATTTTCTTCAAGTGTACATATGTACTTATAAGGCAAATATTTGATATGTATGTATATTAATCTCTACGTGTATTAACATCTAGCAGCTGTTGCTTCAATCTAAGTTTTGAAATTCTAATTTTGTTTCTCTCCATGTCGCTTTTTACTTTGTATTCATGTTTTAATTTTGCGAATTTAAGTTTTTGTCTCTCTATTTCTATTCTCTCTTCCATTTGTTCCACAGATTTCTTATTTGTTTTTGCTATTGATTTTAAATTGTAATTGACGTCTTTTAAAATGCGAGTACAATCTTTGTGGAATTTTTTTTGCCCATACACTTGCATCTTCAAAAGATTGCTTTTGCTTTGAGTTCGGGACCGCACCGTACTGCAATTGGGTGACACCTGGGAATAGGAAGGAGGAGTAGAAGGTGGCAGTTCTGCACGATCCTGAAAATCAGTTGCATAATTCGGAGTGGTTTAAGAGTTAATATTATTTGGCTTACACTCAAATTACCTTTTTCCATGAAGATGCATCCCGCGTAGGTGGTCCATCTCCATTTAACTCTTCCGTCAGCCGTCCCCACAAATTCTTGGAAGTTTGCTTAGCATCAGCGCACTTTATGTAGCCTTTGGCCAAACTTGGATGCGATTCCATGAATTCCACCATAATTCCAAATTGGCTTTGTTTTGTATGCTGGCTTTTGCTGGATGAATCCCTATTGAAAAATATTTTACGTATATTTGTTATACTTAATAAAAAATTATTAAAATACTTGCATTTTTCAAATAGTATTCCGTTTCTACAGCTCAAACTCTAACGAGTATTATTTGCGAAGATCGAATGAATTTGACATTCAAATTCGAGTTACATAGTTGCCAGTTTTCGATTTTCGAATATACTATTCGAAATTAGAATTGCAAATGCGAAAATAGAGTTACCAAGTACAAAAAATCCGAATTCGAGCAAATTTATTTTCGAATCGAGTTATAAAATAGGGCCCCTGACTATTGGTTACTATACAAACCCAATTTTTGCATTAAGCTTCGATGAGATGAAGCTACGCAAGTCCCACTGCTATGACCGATCATCTGATACGACGCTCGCTCCTGTGGATTACGTACTAGTAGCTATGTTATGAGGTAAGTTAATGCATTTTGGTTATACCTACAAGCTTATTTACACATTTTTCATTTGTGTTTGCAGGTTTCATTGCGAAGTGGAAGCAACCAGTTTTTCATAATTACACCTGCAGAATGACTCAGGAAATTTTATTCAACATAATTAACACGGTGAAAATTCAGGGCTATCGCGTAGTCGCTGTTGTCAGTGACCTAGGCGGAGCTAATAGAGGATTGTTTAATGTACTAGGCGTCAACTATGAAAACCCATGGTTCTTCTTCTTCTTATTTGGCGCTGTAACCGCCTAAGCGATTTTGGCCGAGTCCAAAACAGCACGCCAGTCATTTCTCTTCTGTGCTAACTGACGCCAATTGAAAATGCCAAGTGAAGCCAAGTCCTTCTCCACCTGGTCTTTCCAACGCAGAGGAGGCATTCCTCTTCCTCTGTTACCAGCATCGCAGCCCGCATTGAATATTTTCAGAGCAGGAGCGTTTCTGTCCATCCGAACGACATGGCCAAGCCAGCGGAGCCGCTGAATTTTAATTCGCTGCACTATGTCTATATCGTTGTAAAGCTCATACAGCTCATCGTTAAATCGTCTGCGATATTCGCCATCACCAACGCGTAAAGGTCCGTAAATCTTTCGCAGAATCTTTCTCTCGAAAACTCCAAGAGCCGCCTCATCAGATGCTTTCATTGTCCATGCTTCCGCGCCATACACCAGCACAGGCATGATGAGTGACTTATAGAGTGTGATCTTTGTACGACGAGAGAGGACTTTACTTCTCAATTGCCTACTCAGCCCAAAGTAGCACTTGTTGGCAAGAGTGATTCTCCGTTGGATTTCAAGGCTGACATTATTATTGGTGTTAATGCTGGTTCCCAAATAAACGAAGTCGTCTACTTTTTCAAACTTGTAACTGTCAACAGTGACGTGGGTGCCAAGACGCGTATGCTCTGACTGTTTGTGTGCTGACAGGAGATACTTCGTTTTGTCCTCGTTCACCACCAGACCCATTCGCTTTGCTTCTCTATCCAATCCCGAGAAGGCAGAACAGACGTAGCCCTTGTTTTTACCGATAATATCGATGTCGTCGGCATACGCCAGCAATTGTACGCTCTTATAAAGTATTGTGCCTGAGCGGTTCAGTTCTGCGGCTCTTATTATCTTCTCCAACATAAGATTAAAGAAATCACACGAAAGGGGGTCCCCTTGTCTGAAACCTCGTTTGGTATCAAACGGCTCGGAGAGGTCCTTCCCTATTCTGACGGAGCTGGTGGTATTGCTCAACGTCATTTTACACAGCCGTATTAGTTTCGCGGGGATACCAAATTCAGACATCGCGGCATAAAGGCAACTTCTCTTCGTGCTGTCGAAAGCGGCTTTGAAATCGACAAATAGATGGTGTGTGTCGATCCTATTCTCGCGGGTCTTTTCCAAGATTTGGCGTATTGTGAATACCTGATCTATGGTGGATTTTCCAGGCCTAAAGCCACACTGATAAGGTCCAATCAGCTCGTTGACGGTGGGCTTCAGTCTTTCGCACAATACGCTCGATAAGACCTTGTAACCTATGCTTAGAAGGCTAATTCCGCGGTAGTTGGCGCGTATGGCGGGGTCGCCTTTCTTGTGGATTGGGCAGAGCACACTTAAATTCCAGTCGTCGGGCATGCGTTCATCTGACCATATTCTGCATACGAGCTGATGCATGCACCTCATCAGCTCCTCGCCGCCGTACTTGAATAGCTCGGCTGGCAGGCCGTCAGCTCCAGCAGCTTTGTTGTTTTTCAGCCGCGTAATCGCTATTCGTACCTCGTCATAGTCAGGCGGTGGGACAGCTACTCCATCATCATCGACTGGGGACTCGGGTTCGTCTTCCTCACTACTTTCAGCGCTGCTACCATTCAGTAGGTTATAAAAGTGTTCCCTCCACAATTTAAGTATATTCTGGACATCGGTCACTAGGTCGCCATTGTTGTTCTTACAGGAGTTCGCCCCGGTCTTGAAACCTTCCGTAAGTCGCCTAACCCTCTGGTAGAATTTTCGGGCGTTCTTCCTGTCGGCCAGCATCTCAAGCTCTTCGCACTCACGTATTTCGGCCTCTCTCTTCTTATTGCGGCAAATACGTCTCGCTTCCTTCTTCAGTTCCCTATAACGGTCCCACATGGCTCGCGTTGCGCCCGATCGCAGCGTGGCCCTGTAGGCGGCATCTTTTTTCTCTGCGGCTTCTTGACATTCCTCATCGTACCAGTTGTTCTTTCGGGCTCGCTGAAATCCAACTACTTCTTCGGCGGCGGTACTTAATGATCGGGAAATGTGGTTCCACTGCTCGCGTACGTCGGATTGTTGAAGAGTGCTCTCAGAGAGCAGGTGTGTGAGTCGAGTGGCGAATAAATTGGCCGTCTGTTGTGATTGCAGCTTTTCGACGTTAAGCTTTCCTTGCATTGTTGGGCGCACATTTTTTGCTGCACAGAGGCGGGTGCGTATCTTGGCTACAACAAGATAGTGGTCCGAGTCGATGTTTGGCCCTCGGAGTGTACGTACGTCCAAAACGCTTGAAGCATGCCTTCCGTCTATCACAACATGATCGATTTGGTTTCTCGTTTTTCGATCTGGAGACAGCCATGTAGCTTGGTGGATGTTCTTATGCTGGAACCTAGTACTACATATTACCATATTTCGGGCCCCGGCGAAGTCGATCAGCCTCAGTCCGTTATCGGACGTTTCGTCGTGGAGGCTGAATTTTCCGACAGTGGCGCCAAAGATCCCTTCCTTGCCCACCTTGGCATTAAAATCGCCAAGCACGATTTTGACATCGTGTCGGGGGCAGCGCTCATATGTACGTTCCAAGCGCTCATAGAAGAGATCCT